AAAAAAATTAAAAAATTAAAAAAAATTTATAATAAAAAAAAAAAAAAAATTAAAAAAAATTAAAAATTAAAGATAAATTTATAATAAAACTAGCTTATTAATATTTTTAGTTCTAAAAAAATAGTTTTTAGTTATTAAAACTTTACTATTTATTAGCTATCAGAAAGATTCAAATCATATTATATTAGTATATAATTGAAATTAGAAATTTTATATATAATATATTTTTTAAATTACTAGCTATTATAATTTAATATTTCTAATTGTTTGTTATCTATTCAAGTTTAATTTGTTTGTCTTTAAAAATTTAACAATATTTTGAATATTATAAATTGCTTTTGTTGAACTTGATATTAATTCTGCTTCAGATTCAATTTTTTTATCTTTAATTATATCAGTTACAATTTTTTCATTTGAAATATCAATAGAATATAACATATTTTCAATTAAAGGATATTCATATGCATTGATCTTTTCTTCATATTCATATAGTAACTGATTAATTAAATTTTGTATTTCAGTTTAATTATTATTATTTTGTTCTAATAAAACTAATTCACCAGTTATTGTACTATCAGAAATTATAGATTCTGAATTATCAAAATGTGAAATTAGTAAAATTTCTGTTTTCTTCCAACAATTTAAAATTGTATTAGGTGTTACTTTTTGCCATGCTTCTGTAGACCATTTAATTGCATGTGCTATTGTTACTTCTTCCATATCACCACCAATATCACATACTTTATTAAATTCATCTAAACGATGCTTTATTAAAAATTTTCTATAATTTGACTATAAATTATAAAATTTGATGAAAATGATCAAAGGCTCATTTAAAGAACTTTCAAAAAAAAAAAAAAAATTGTATCCGAAATTAGATTAGATCGGGCCATGAATAGCCAAGGAATTTAATACAATTGTCTACTAAGGAAATCTCAAATTATATCTGGCCTATATCGAGGTCAGATACTTGGTTTCCCGTAAAAAAATTTCGATAAATGTACATTTATTTGACGTTGAATCGACTAAAACTGCAATTAGTACGTGTGCTTCACAAGCTTTGACCGATGCGTTAAAAGGCAGAAACCTTGTATTACTTGAGCTGTTAATGAATTGATGTACTAGAAGAATATTTAAGGGATGTTCTTGTTGATATGTTTTGAAGTGTTTAGGACCTTAAAATAATCACAATAATTTTTGAACATAATGTTGAAATATATGCTTCTTCAGATCCTAGTTTCATTACACCTAAGAACAATGCAATTTTTAACACAAAAAGAATTATTCATTTGCACGTTCCGTTATCTACCATGTTGAGAATATTTTTCTTCATTAAGATCACGAAAATTATTATCATTTTCATTATATAAAACAGCAGTATTGAGTTCTGTATTTAGTAAAACGGCGGCGTTTTATAGGCTGGAGCCTTAATTATAAATCTTAAATTATGGACTTAAATATTGTAAAGAAAAATACTTGTTTTCTAAAATACGTTTTATCTTAATATTGTTATCTATTAAAAAGCAAACTTGATCCAAACTCTTGATAGACTTAAAATTATAAGGCTCATAGTAAGCTCCTAGATTCAACATTTATTATAAACTAAGAAAATGGATCCATGTATCCCAATAAAATTGCATGAACAAATATTGAGTACAAATTACAAGAGACGTTATTATTAATAAAACCAAAAGCCTCCATTATTTTTTTTTACCTTTTCGTTCTTCAGTGACTTCTCGTCTCTCTTTTTATTCCACTGGTTGTGCAAAATGTGTTTTCACTGTTTCAGAATCTATCTTTTTTTTCTATTTGTTGCGACTACGTTCAAAACATATTTCTTTCTTCTCAGAAGTTTTTATGGCACATCATGTATTTTCTTATTTTCAGCATCTTTTTTATTTTAATACTAACATTAACGGCTTCAATGTTCTAGTTAATAATGAAAAGTTGCAAAACACTAATTTTTATCTACAAGTATACTCAAATTATTAACATATTAAATTTAGGCGATTGTTTTATTAAATTTAATTTATTTATATTGCTTTGTGCAAAACAAATATCTAATATTTATTAA